TGGACTTCCCTCACCCCAACCCTGGATTACCTATCTTTCCTCACACATTCATTCCCCTGTCTGTATTATCATGGCTGGTTATCTTTTTCTTTCTTTCTTTTTTTTGTTGGTCGTGGGGCTTGAACTCTGGGCCTGGGCGTTGTCCCTGAGCTCTTTAGCTCTTTAGCTCAAGGCCAGGGCTCTACCGCATGAGTCACAGGGCCACTTCCGGTTTCCTGGTGGTTACTTGGAGATGAATCTTATGGACTTTCTTGTCCCTGTTCAGGCCTCCTGAGTAGCTAGGATTACAGGTGTGAGCCATCGGTGCCTGGCTCTGGTTGTCTTTCCTAGAAGCACTGTTGGCACCTTTAGAATAGGGACAGAGCTTTGTTTTTCATGGTACCCTCAGCACCAAGGTCAGTGTCCAGCCAAATTAGTCCTCAAGATGTGTTTGTTGACTGATTAATTCAGCACCCTACTTCCTAAGAAGAGATCACAGGTAATGAGGTCACTGTGATATTAATGCAGTCTCAGCAGCAGAATCTGCCTGCTTTGCTTTTGAGTTTTAAAACCGAGGTGTTTCTGCTGAGCTTGTGGCATGCTGAGATCTGGCTCCGGCCTCCCTTTCTGCCTGATTGTGTGGCTCCAGACTGGATATCCACAATGTGTGTTGTATCTTGCCAGAGAACCAGCACCAGGGAGTCCCTGCTAAGGAAATGGCAGGGATGACAGGCATGACAGCAAGAGAGAACAGCAGAGCAAGGGGCCAAGAACACCAAAGCCCAGGGAATGCTGCCCGGGTGTGGGTCAGGCTGGGGCTGACAGGAGGGATGGCGTGGGAAAAACAAAGCCCCCTCCATCTCACTGCCTCCCTCATTTTGACCATCTTGGGCTCTCCTCCCAAGCAGAGGGATCTGTTTCCTCTAGATACAACCTGGAAGATTTTCCTGGTCTCCTCATGGTCTCAGCAAGGCTGCCCCCATCTGATTGGTGTGCATGCAAGAGTTTGAATACTACACACAGTTCTAGAGTCCTTCTTCTTCTTTCTCTTTTCTTCCTTTTTTTCCTTCTCTATTTCTTTTTTCCTTCTTTCCTTCTCTTTCTCTTCCTTCATTCTTCCCTTTCTTCCTTCTTTCTTTCTTAAAGGCAGGGTCTCATTGTCCCACAGGTCGGTCTTGAACTTGAGGTCCTCCTGTTTCAGCCTCCAGGCTTCAGGGTGCTAGGATTATAGGTATGTCCAGCTTGGTTCTGGCATGTTCAAAGAAAGAATTAATAATCTTTGTGGGCCACAGCCAGTAGCTTCCACATCTAAACTAGGGCTAAGTCCCACAGTTTCAGAGTTCTAAGCAGAATTTCCTCCTCGAATTTGACTGGAACACTTGCCTCCTTTGCCTAACTTGCCCTGTCCTGGAGGAGGATGCTAGCTCACAAGTAAAGTTGTGATGACAGTGAAGTCCCCTCTGAGTCCCACCACTATCTGGGATTAGTCCTAAGCTCACTGGGTTTAGGCAGGGATCACTGGCTCTAAGGGTACCTGCAAGCAGGTAGTGGGATTCCTGTCTGAACTTCCCCATGTGCAAGCCCCTTATTGGGTCTTCATTGAGCCCATTTCCTCCATGGGGTAGGGGTGGGGTTTGCACAGTGCGCCTGTCTGCAGGTGTTTATGAATGTGGGTGTCCCTTCCTGGCTTGGTCCTTCTGTGGGGGGGCACCAGGTGACACTAGGTGAGAGAGTGCTTAGTGCTACCACCTTGTGTCTGATGCCCTCACTTCACAACTGTCATTCCCTGGGCAAGCTGGGCCACACATCTGGCCTGGGGAAGAGGATAAAAGAGGCCAAAGGGCACCAGTCTTTAATGGGTGGGAACTAGGGATGAAGGTGGAGATGAAGCCTATTTGGAAAGTGGGCAGGGTATGGGTGAGGTAGGGTTAGAGGACAGGAAGTAGGGGGAGGAGAACAGATGTCATGGGCTCCAAGGGTCAGGGCTGTGTCAGGAAGGGGTGGTGCCTGGGAACCTGGAGTGACTGCAGAGCCGGCCTTGGCCAGCCCGTGACTGAGGGAAGCCTTCTCCTGTGAGTAAAGCGCCCCCCTCCCACTGGCCCTATGGTAGAAGACTGGTGACCCACCAAGTTTGCCCCTCTGGGGACACGTGTGTACAGTTCTGTAAATACGAGTGTGACTGCTCTGAGAAAGGCTCCCTACTGTCTTTTCATTTTGTAAGCCTGCGTTTCCCCAAGTTGCCCTAATCCCTGCACGGGGAGAAGAGACTAGGGGTGCAGGAGTTGCTCAGGCTGAGCCACCCCTAGGATTCAGACTCTGCTATGTTGTGGCTATGTGACCTTGGGCAAGTCCCTTAACCTGAATCCATTACTGCGTGGAAAAGCTAGCGATGGTATTTCCCTTGCTTGGGCGGGCATCTTGCGGAGTGAGTGAGAGACTGCATATGAGCTTCAGGTTTGTTTTTAGCACCAGCTCAGATCACTCCTCTTCCCAGTCCCTCCTCCAGACAGACCTTTTCCTGGAGCTTTGGGGGTGGAGGAAGCAGAAGCAGCCAAGCCTGAGGTGAGGGAGGGGGCGGGGCTGAAGCTGTTGACACAATTTCCTCAGAACCCCCAAGGAGAAGACCAAGGGCAGAACAGAAGTGTACTTACTCCAAAGCCTAGCCTATCCTGGAAATCCCTAGGTAGTTCCCAACTGGCCCTGGAGGCTCTACAAGACAGACTTGATGCCTCTATCAGCCCTTTCCCAAGTTGGATTCCTTCAGACCGTCCACCCTACTCCTGGGGACCCTGGAGCAGGCTCCAATAACCACCAAAATAGGCTCATGCGGTCAGCATGACCACCTTGCAAAGACTCACTTCCCAACTCTTCCAATGAGACTCAACACTTCCCATCCTTGACAAAGATTTTCCAGAGTTGGAGAAGAAGCCATAATTCCCCTCCCCACCTCTATTGCTACTCCCAAAGAAATGCCCAGATGCCTCTACTCCACGCACTGCCTCCTTCCAGAGAAATGCTCTGGTCCACTGATGGGCGTCTAAGAGGGAGCAAGCAGGAAAGGGTTTCCCTTCTCACCGGCAGATCTCTAGAAAAGAACCCCAACACATAGCCACTGTACCACACACCAGCTCTCTTAGTCCCTACTAGAAAGAGAAAGACCTGAAAAAGAGAATCCCTGAAAGAACTGGGCATTGCTAAGCATAGCCCTACATACCGCAGTATTGCAGGGCTGTTCAGCTGTTCACAGAGAAAAGGATGGACCAAAGGGGAGGGAAGGGGTAGAGGGCTAGCTCTCTGCTTTGCTTTGACCCAGAATCTTCCAGTCCCCTAAAGAGGAAAAAAAGAAGATCCCAGAACCCCCTCCTCAAATCTCCCACCTGCAGGGAATAGACAGGTACAGATTCTACAAAAAATATACAAGCTTAATCTGCAGATTCAAGTGGCAAAACTCTAGGAATTTTGTACAGCTCTGCTAAAAAAAAAAAAAAAAAAAGCAGCAGCTTGTACCATCACCCCCTCTCCCACTGGAGGAGGACAGAGGAAAGAGAGCTTGGCTTTATTGTACACTCTAGGAAGATCAAACCGGGTGTTTGCTTCCAGAAGTGGTATCATTCCTGTCCAAAAGAGCAATTAGAAAAGCTCTCCCCAGCTTCAGAAACACAAGCTGGACGATGGACGCCTGCGGGTCCAGCCGCCTAGCAGCCTGGCAACCTTGGCTCCCAGCTGCCCAAGCAGATGGGGTTGGGGGAGAGCCTGAGTGTGGGCTGTCACTAGGACTTCAAAGATCTAATCCCGGGCTGGTTGGGGGGGGGTCTCAGTGGTATTGCATCGCAAGAAAACCCCACCCAAACCAATCCAGTCCTGGGGCTTAAAGGGGCCATAATGCTCAAAGGAGTGGGAATGAGGCAGATGTTTGGGGGTGGCTGGCAGGTGACAGGCTAGCTGAGCCCCTTGTCACCACCTCTTGGTACCACAGTTTCAGATAAGAGACTGTTGCCAGTGGTTGCACCAGAAAGATGGCTCTGTGCCAGGTGACTCGCCCCTTCTCCTCCCCCTCCTGCCCAGTGGTGGCTGCCATCGCCCCTCCCTCCTCCTCTGTCTCCCACAGGGCAGGCAGCAGCAGACCATGTAAGCACCTTGCTGGTGTTGTTCATCACCCCTCAGGGGGCCAGCTTCCCCCACAGCTGCCTGGTAAACCACCCGCCCAGACCCTACTCCTGTGGAGCTGGACACCCTGGTCATTATATCCTCTAGAGGGAGCAGCTTTATTTACACAGCTTCAACTCATTGCCAGCAGGATGGTGGGAGAAGCCCAAGGCACCAGGCAGAAGTCAGATACCCGGCCCCCTCCCCCAGCCCTGCCTGCCCAGGTCTCCACCCAGCCAGAATTGGGGCAAATCCCTGCAGAGGCCAGGGGAAGGAAAACCCAGAAGCGCTTGCCCCTCCCCCATCAAGTCCCAGATCCAGATCAGCCACAGCTGAGGCCACCTCCCAGCCGCAGTCAGCCCCATTAACCAAAACAGCTTCATTATGCCAATTTCCAGCTTTCAATGCATGGCTGATAGCTGTCAGCAGAAATAAGAGCTAATCTGGAATTACATTCACTGAGCTGCATGGCTTAGAGGGCGCCATAAAGCTTTGATAGAAACAGGAGCCCTTCTTTCTCCCCAGTCTTGTTAGGCAGAGGGCTTCCTCCTCTCCCTTCCTCAAGAGGCCAGGGGAGAACTTCTCCAAGGCTGAGTGTTTGGGTTTTCTTTCAAACACACACACACACACACACACACACACACACACACATGCATATGCCTGAATGTACTCATATACCACACAACTCACACCCAAATACACATGCCTGCATGACCTTTATGCACACACACATACACACAAATGCATATGCCCACACACATTCACACACACACCAAACCTCCCCTCTCCACCACCCACTTCCATCTCCAGAACTCTGCTGGGCCATCTGCATAGGGCTATTTCTCCATCCCCTTTGTTTTTACTCTCCACCGTGATTATTTTGGAAAATTACTTTATTTTATATAGATATATAGATATATAGATATGTATGTATGTATATATAAAAAGGTTCCATTTCATTTGTAAAATCTCATTTTTTTCCTTTTTCTCTTTTTTTTTGTTTTTTTTTCCCCCTACAGAAAATGATGAGGAGATTAAAGGAGAAAATAAGTTACATTACAGTTTCCAAAATGATTCTCACTCTCCGCAGAAGATAGGCCCCTGTCGGGGCTGGAAATGCACGCAAGGTCCCAGCTTGTGCTTTACAAGAAGAGGGAATAACTAGACTGGTTGTTTTAGGTTAAAATAGCCAAGAGACAGACGCCTTCGCCTCAAAAATATTCTGAGACACATAAAAGTAGAAGGAAACAAGTCTCTTCAGTCACAAAATGTCGTACATCCGGCATATACTAGATTCAATTAATTTAATAAAATAGAATATACATAGAGATTCTGCACAAACGTATTGCTTTCTCCCAATAGCTCCTGGTGTGGGAACCTCGGCCATGCTGGGCCTCTCCCTTGCTTTCTGCCTGGAGCCGGAATTGCCAGGGCTGCGCTTCGGACTCTCTGGAAGTCCTGCTTGCAGGTGTCCAGAACCATGGAGGCGGGGAGGACAGCCTCGTAGGTGTCTCTATGGAACTTCTCAGGCATATGGCCCAGGAGGAGTTAAGATGTGCACCCAGTGGAGAAAGGTGAGTGAGAGAGTGGGTGGGACTCAAGGGTCCAGGTCTGCTGGGTCAGAGGACAAACCAGAGAGACTCAGTACATCTTTCTTTGGGGAGGGCGAGGCAGCCATGCTGTCAGGGAGGCCAGAGGCCAAGGGATCCTTGGAGTCGCTGGATGGAGCTCTCCTCCGGAGGCAGATGCCAGGGCTGGATGGGGTTCGAGGGCCCTGGTTCTCCGGAGGGTCTATAGAGATACTGGGTGGGCTGAGTTTTTTCTTGGGCCGGCTCCCAGGGCCTCCAAGAGACTGACCCCCAAGGCTTGAGGGGTCTGGACCCAGGCGGGACTGAGAGCCACTGTCCAGACAGCTGACCGCGATGGAGTGCCTCCTCTGATCATCCAGCCAGGATGCAGGCCGGCGCCGGCCACTCTGAGCCTCCACACTGTAGCACTTCTTCAGGTCCCGTGGGGATGGGGGCTCATCCTGGCTGCTGGTAGGCAGGAGGTCTCCTGAAATCCAGCTCAGCTCTGTGTCCAGCTCTAAGCTGCTTCTGGTCTCTGGAGGGTCTTTGCCCCAATTAGGATCCAGGCCTGGGCAGGGGGCTGGTGGGGGCATGTGCTTCAACTGGAGCTTGCTGTGGGAATGTGGCTGTACCTGGATGCTGGACCGGCCCCAGAAGGAGGAGGAACGAACCAGAGGTGGGGAGGGCCTGCCCACCTCCAACAACAGGTCTTCCCGGCTGCCCAGGCCCTGCACGTCCAAGGAATCGGTCCTTATTGCTGCCTGTGTGGAGTGGGCAAAGAACTCACCACGGATTGTCCCTTGTCCCTTCTTCTGACCATATAGGATCTCCCACCTCCTTGCAGCTACAGCAGGACCACCTTTAACAGGTGTACTGGTAACTGCACCCCCCCTGCCCCCGCCCCAGGACTTGAACTGAGTCTCTGACATTTTCACTCACGGCTGGTGCTCTACCACCCGAGCCATGCCTCCAGCCCTGAAGATAACTGTTTTTAATTAGGAGATGGTCATGTGCAGCTTGACTTCAATGGCCCACCATACCTTTTATTCACTCCCCCACAAACCTCTTTTCCTTCCTCCATACCCTGTCTCCCCCAAGGCTGCAGGGTTAGTGCTGTGCAGTCCCTGACCTCTGGGAAGAAATAAAATACCCAGGCCAGCTCTTGTCCCCAGTTGGTCCCTTTATGCCACTCAGCCTTTGCCCAGTCTGTCCCTTTGGCCTTGAACACACTTCCCAACTAGCAGGCACTCCTTTGGAGACTCAAGTTCTCTGTGATGGAGGGCCTGACAATCTCCACCCCAAGGAGAGCTGACTCCCTTCCTTTTCTTCGCTTCCTGCTTTACCCCTATACATAAGCATCCCACAGCTGTGACTTGTGGCTGCAGGAATCTGATGGCATGGCTGTCTCCGCTATTAGACTATGAGCTCAGAGGGCAGGGACTGGGCCCAGGCACCTGGTAGGCAGAGGCTGCTCAGTGAGTATGTATAGAATTGAAGGGACTATGCCTGCTCCCCAAGAATGCAGGCCCGAGCAGATTCTCAGGTATCACAGCCATGGCCAGTGTGAATCTGACAAGCCTCACTAGTTGTATTTGTGTCTCCCTGTGGGCCTAGAATAGGGGGTTCTGCAAAGTGGGTCCTGTGCTTGGCCAAAAGTAAAGACCCTTAAAGCCTGCCTGTGCCCCTCAGCTAAATCCAAAGTGTGAAGAACAGGGAGGTAGCTCTGGGCTAAGAAAAGGGAGCCTTGAGACTTGGGTTCCATTTCCACTGGACATCTATGGCCCTGGTGACCCTGATTCCCTCTGCTTCTTCCAGTACTATGTCCCTGGGACTAAAACCCAAGTCTGACCTGCCACTGGCATACAATATATGTTCTCTGGAAGAACGGAAATGGCCACCCTGGTCATCAGCAAGAGTCTAGGAGTCCTAACAGAGTTCAGTCCTAGGCCCAGTCCTCCACACCTGCTCACCTGGCGCCTGAGTGGCCTCTGAGCCAGAGGGGAGCGGCCGGGTGGGGGAATTTTAGGGATGGTGCCCCAGGTAGGGACACTGTGAGGCTGGAGCAAATGTGGTGCATCTTTGGGAAGCTGCAGGACATAGCTGGTATCTGCTGGCTGGGAGTGGACCGACAAGATGGAGCCTGTTGAGGGAGGGAAGGGACAGGAGTGAGGCAGAGAGAGGAGGCCTGAGCTCCTTGCTTCCGCCCTTCTTCTGCTTTCAGGGCCTCTACCCTCACCACCTTTAGGTAAAGTTATTCCCCTTCAGGCTAAAGCTCTCCCAGAAAAAAGAGAGTCCTGTTTTGTTGCCCCTAGTCAGGACTGATCTGAGGCAAGACTGGGTCCTCCCTGTGGGAGCCAAGCTGGCCTGGTCCAGTCCTGGTACCTGACGGGGCTTTGGGAAGCCCCCAGCCTCCGTGTCCCAGGGGCCCCTCCGCAGTGCTCTCATTCCGGCACATGTAGCTGTCATTGGGCAGAGAGTGCGTCCGGCTGACCCCAGACTTGCGCACAGTCAGCAAATCGGGTCCCAGTGTGAGGGGTACCTCCTTGACGTGGGGCTCCATCTGCAAAAGGTACAGGGAAAGAGGTGGAGTGGGAGCTGCTGGGTCTGGTTACTGAGGCCGAGCTGGACAAGAAATGATTCCCACCACCCTGCCAGGCCGTGCCCCTCCCCATTCTTTTCCAGGACAAGGTATGAGCATGGCACGGGGTGGGTACATGATGAGTCCCCCACACAGGGAGGAAGGAGCGGAGCAGCTTTACCTCCCCCAGAATGTGCCCAGGGTATTGCCTGCAAGCTTCTTGGAAGTGATGGTGGAGGGTGAGGAGGGAGCTGAGGAGGGAGAGCAGCCCCCGCCTTGCCAGTGGTCCCCAAGTACCTTCTTATTATGATTTCTTTTTCTTTTTTGCTTCAGTGCCAGTGCTAGGGCTTGAACTCAGGGCCTTGTACCCTCACTTAGCTTTTTGGCTCACGGTGGGTGTTCTATTGCTCAAGTAACAGCTCCAGTCCCCCAACTGTTTTCTAAAGGCCCCCACCTATTGGATCAAAGGGAGCCCTAGGATCCAGACTTGAGCTAAGTCCATGCTGGTTGAATGCAGATGAACACTAGGGGCAGGTCAGTCTTCTCCCCTCCTCCCCATTTTAACCACCTAGAGACTCAGCTCTTCTCTTAGACTGGGGGGAGGGGGGGGAGGAGGGTGTGGAATTGGGGACATCTGTTCCAAAGGAAGATAGTCATCAGCCTTGGATGCCAGTGGAGAGAGTCAAGGTTCCCTCTCAAGGGTTTCTCCATCCCTAAGACCCTGTGGACCCAGCCAGTCGTACCCTGATCCTAGCAGGTAGCTATGTGGAGGATGGTCCCTCTCAGCCTCAGGACCCAGCCTGTGGTCAAGGCTGGCCACTCTGACAACAGAAATAAAAGGCCAGGAGGGGGCTGCTCACAGTCAGAAGGGGATGGGAACTGGGGAAGGGTGGAAAAAAATCAAAGAAGCCCCTCCCCAAAAGTCTGGCAAGGACACAGGGACCACAGGGACAGTGACAGAGGAGACAGGAACAGCCTTCGGGTGGAGAAGGGCATGGTGGTGGCAGCAGAGATGTGGCTCTCACCCACTATGGATGGTGATCACCTCATGAGCAGGGAGGGGAAGGAGGGGCAGGGAGGGAGGGCTGGCGGGCACAGGGCTCCACATGTGGAGACTGGCTCTGTTGCCACGTGCTGCGGGCCATGTCACTCCTGAGTAACCCTTTCACAACCACTGCCCTCATGTCCCTCTGGGCAAAGCCTTCTAATTCCTTTGTCCCCCATGAGGGACTTGAAAGACTTCATGCCAGCCAAGGCTGGAGCACCATATGCTCTTTTTTGTTTTTTTGGTTGGTTGTGGGGCCTGAACTCTGGGCCTGGGCGCTGTCCCCCAGCTCTTCAGCTGTAGACCAGTGCTCTACCACCTGAGCCTCAGCCCCACTTCCGTCTTTTTCTGCTTATGTGGTGCTGAGGAATTGAACAGAGGGCCTCATGCATGCAAGGCAAGCGCTCTACCACTGAGCCACCTTCCCAGCCCCCACCATATGCTCTTGCATGGACACCTCAGGGCAGGGCCTAGTGGCAGAGCGGGAGGAGGACCTGGAGCCCTGCAGCCGGTCCAGCCCGGGCTGGGGGAGCAGCAAAGGGGTGTGTGCATGTACATTGCTCTCCAGGGCACTAAGTAAGAGTGTGTGAGTGTCATCAGGCAAAGAGTCATCCGTCAGAGCTAGAGAGCAGGACGGTTCAGACACAATCTCTGACGTCAGAGACAGAGCCTCCATCTCAGCTAGAGGGATCTAGACAGGAGAGAGATGAGCAGCCATGAGAAACCAGGACGGTGTACATCGGGCACGCACATGCGTGCATGCACGCGCGCACACATACACACACACACACACACACACACACAGCCCCCACTTCCCCTTTCCACAAAGCAGGGAGAAGGGAGGCACCCCTTCTCACTTGCTCCCTTGCTCCCCACCTCTTTCCCAAATAAACCAGCCACCCCCTCCCTCTCTCCGGCTTCAACCCCCTGCTCTGATCAGAGAGGCTGTGGCAGGCACCAAAGAGCTGGAGCAAACACAGACAAAGGGAAGAGACACAGAAACACGTTCTAAAGATACCCCAGGTACCTCGGCCACCCCCTCCCACGCTACCACCACCCAGGGAGAGAGCTGGAGTAGCCAGGGCTTCTACTCTCATAAAGATGACACTAAACAACAACAACAGAACAACATCAACAACAACAAAGAAAGGTCAACAAAGCCAGTCTCTTCTCTCTGCAGACAGAGCAGCGTGGGGGTGGGGATGGGGGACACTGGGGACAATGCCACAATCTGACGGCTGTTTTCTGCCTATTCTCTTTGCTTCCAAAAGCCTGGCAGGACTTGGCGGGCCTCCATTTTCTGGCTTCTCCCCTTGAGGGCCCTCCTCCTCTGTCTGCCTGCAGCCTGCCCGCCCTCTCCAACTTGGGCCCTGCGAGGTGCTCTCCCAGCCAGGCTGAAGTGGGTAACTCAGGCTGCCAGACCATCTGGGTATACCTCAGATCTGCAGGGGGAGGGGGGTGGGGGGCTTCAGTGTCTGGGATACCCTGGTCACCTTCCCTTTGCAACCTGTTCTATCCCACCATCTAGGGGACGTGCGCTTCCTTGAATGAGGGTGGGCAGCTTGAGGAAGAGACTCACCCTCCCACTGCTCGCTCTAGCTTCCTACCAGGTTGGAGTCACCCCAAGAAGAGGCACAGCCCCCCTACCATGCAAAATTCACTGTCCATTTCCTTGGCTATAAAGGCTTGCTAGGACCCTGCCTGCCCACCCCTCTATCCAACAGGGCCTGTGGGTGACGCCTGACTTCTTGCCTTGCTGCAGATCTGCAGCCTCTGACATGGGGAGGGAGATGGCAGGATCCCTGCCCAAGGGGAGGAGAGCAAGGCAAGAAATCAAGATGTAAAGGGCCATGGGAAGGGGCTGGCCCAGGGGAGGGGCTTGTAGAGAGCCATGTCTTATTTCAAGGGTCCAGATGTGCGTCTCACATCTAATGGGCACCATGGCTTACAAAGCCACCAAGGGACGGAGGGTGTGAGGTGGGATGCTGGGGGTGGGGAATCATGGCTTAAGATATGTCCCTCTGAGGGTCCCCTGGCCACCTGTACTATCCCAGAGGCTGATTTTGCCTGGACCTGGTACTTTGGTCCCACTGCCCCATCCCTCTATGCCCCTCTTCTCTCCCTCCGTTCTTCCCTCTTGGAAGGGGAATCTCAGCCTCTCTATCATCTAGGTCTGTGTAGGGGCTAGAGTACCCCCTGGCTGTTTTCTGCCAAGTCTGATGTTCAACTGGGGCCCTGTGACTCCTCTTCCTCCAGATACTAAGTGGGCAGGCAACACCCCCCGCCCCAGCCTCCCCAGAAGCACAGCACAGCATGGCACAGCTTGAAGGGCACAGCACAGAGCACAGTAACCTGCGGGTCGGAGCCGCCCAGACTGGGGGCGGAAGGGAAGGCAGAGGGCTGGCCCCCTGGGGATGCCAGCTCTTCCATCAACTTCAGCTCCCCCTCCAGGGAGCCCTGGATCAGCAGGGAGATGGTGTCAAACAGCTGTCTGTCCTGGGAGGACCAGCCCAAAAAGGGAGCCGGAGAGCCAGGGGGTGGGAGATGGGGGGCAGGGGTCACAGGGATAGTGATGAGAAGAGTTGTGGTAGGGGATTGATGTGGGGTACAGAGGGAGAAAAGTGGAGAGTGAGACCCAGAGGACATGCGCACACACATACACGCACACACACGGCAACAAAGAAGAGCAAAAGAGAGTTGGGGAAGAAGGGAGGCGAGATGGGAAGATGAGCAGAGCCCATGGGAGGAAGAGGGAGAGAGGAAGAGAAAAGGATGGCAAAAAGATGGCAGGGAATCCGGCAGGTGAAAGGGTGGGTAGGAAAGGATTAGCAACCAGGCAAGGGTAAGAAAGAAACAGGAAGGAAACAGAAAACTTAGCCATGAACCTAAAAGCCAGAAAAGGGCGGCCACACCAGGTCGGATGAGGACGGGGTAGACAAGCTGGCTATCTGCCAGCCTCTTTGCTGATGGTGACCCTGGGCAGTGAGTGAGTGTGTGGACAGCCATCTTTAGGGGAGGGGCCTCTCAGAATACAAGTGGGAGGGGCTTGAGGATGGAGGAGGAGCCAGGGCCTGCTCCACTCCTGGTCGACCACCCACTGAGCTGCTGGTCAGGCCCACCCTGCTCCTGCCCCAGACCCCTCTCTCCCCTTTGGCAGGGCTGCTGCTGCTCACCGTGGGGTGCTCCAGAGAGAAGTGTGAGGCTGCTCCGGCATGGGCCACTGCATGGGGGGCCCTGGATTTAGGGCTGTCGGGGCTGTCAGGGCCCTCAACCCCAGGCCAAAGGAAAGGGCTGCCCAGTGGTGAGTGGGGTTGTGGACTGAGTGTCTTCATCTCCAGCTCCAGCTCGGCCTCCAGCTCAGCTTCCTCCTTGGCCTCTTTGTTGCTTTCCTCCAGGTGTTTCATCAGTACGGCAATCACCACATTCACCAACACGAACTGGGCCGTGAGCACGAAGGACACGAAGTAGATGGGTGAGATGACCGTGTTGTAGCAGGTAGATTCTTGGTCACAGTCCCGCAGGGTGTCCTGAGGGGGAGGGGTTGGGGGAGGGGAGAGGCAGAACAGAGTCATGAAGCTGGACAGAGTGAGAGGACAGCGGATGGAGCTGTCGTGGAAAATCAGGCCATGGGTGTCACCGAGCGTGGGGGGAGGAGAATGGGACAGGAGGAGGAGGAAGGAGAGGAGGGAGATCTCAGTGTCTTGGGGGGCAGAAAAGAAGGAAAGGCTGCCTGGGGGAAGTGTGAGTCAGATGATGCCCTGCGGAGAGGGAGTTCCAGCGTGTTCTGGCTTGGGGGGCAGAAGGAGATAGGCTTTTATTTGTGGTGGATTCATTTTCCCGAGGCATCTTGGCTCTTTGCGGGGGCTGCCTCCCTGGCACCCAAGCCCTCTCACCTTCATAATGCCGTTCCAGTTGTCACCTGTGGAGACTCGGAAGAGGGTCAGGAAGGCCATGCCAAAGTTCCGGAAGGTGGCATGCCGGCCCAGGCCCTCACAAGGGTGTGTCTCGTCACACTCTAGGGGAGGAGGAAAAGGGAGAGAGGCTCAGGTTTGTCCCAGAGGCCCTTAGTCTCCCAGCCCTGGGTCTTTCCAACCTCCCTAACCCCAACTCACCCAGGTCTCCAAAGAGCTCCACACCCAGAGCTGCAAAGATGAAAAATAACAACATGAAGAGAAGTCCCAGGTTCCCCACCTGGAAAAGAGAAAAAGAAATGGAAAAGGTGCCACTGAGGCTCCCACACTGCTTCCCTGAGCTCCCTCCCCCCCCCTTTGGAGGACATCTCTTCTTTCCCAAGAGGACCCTTCCCATCCCCCACTTTCCAGCTACCTGGGGCAGAGCCTGCATCACTGTATCCAGCAGCGCCCGCATGCCCACAGCCATCTTCAACAGCTTCAGCACTGAGGAACAGGACAACGTCATGAGCTGGTCCCTCTGGGTCCCTGGCCTGAAGCCAGGCTGTGAAGGGGTTGGGGCTGGTGGGCTGGCTAGCCTGGCCAGCCAATCTATAACTTCCCTTGAACTTCCCCTTTGGCAGAAGTTGGGAGCCCACAGCAGACAGACCCTTGCTATATTCCTGTGAGCTGGTCACCGGGAGATGGCAGGTATACGGACAGACAACAGGACCAACCTCGGGCAATGCGAAGCACCCGCATGATACGGATGATGGTGGGGTTGATAGGCAGCGAGGCATTGACCTCGATCTCCTCCAACGTGATGCCCATGATGGACAGCAGCACAATGGCCAGGTCCAGCTGGTTCCACCTGGAAAGCCCAGGACACAGCTCCCTGAGTGGGGGAAGGGGACTGTGGGGGAAGGATGCCTTTGTGGCACAGAAAGATGGAGCCAGGAAAGAGGGAGGTCAGCCTGGTCCAGGCCCCCATCCTGCATAGAAGAGGCTTGGCTTATCTAAGTTCCACACAGCTGGGGACACAGACTTTCTGCTTGCTTGCTTGCTTGCTTCCTTCCTTCCTTGCTTGCTTGCTTGCTTTCTCTTTCTCTCTTTTCTTCCTTCCTTCCTTCCTTCCTTCCTCCATCCCTCCCTTCCTTCCTTTTTTCTTTTTTTGTGTGTGCTGGTATTGGGACTTGAATTCAGAGCCTTGTGCGTTCACTTGGCTCACAGCTGGCACTCTGCCACTTGAGCCATACCTCTAGTCCTCTGCTTTTCATTATGTAGCCCAGGCTAGTGTCAAACTCTCAGTCTTCCTGCTTAGTTCCCCCCTCCAAAGGATGATATTATAGACATGTACCACCATACTTGGCTCATCTGCTTTTTTATTTAGCACTTATATGGTGTTTAAGGTGTACCGAGCACTGTTTTAAGAGTTTTATGAACAGAATTTGAGAATCACGCAAGTTTAATACAGATACTATTATATCTCCCATTTTACAGATCAGGAAACTGAGGCACAGAGAGGTTAAGTAACTTAGGTAACGTGGGAGAATTAGGATTCAAATCCAGTCCAAGCAGGCTCTGTGCCTTTAAACCCCAGGCTGGGATACAGTGATTTCTAAATGCCAGTGACCTCCAAAGTCCTGTCTGGTCAAATGTCCTCCATTTTCTCCCATACATGAAGCTCCCTTCCTCCAGCAGTATCAGCCCTGGGGTAGGAGCTGGACTTAACTAGAGTTAAGAAACGTAACTAGAGTTAAGAAGCATCCTTCAGGGTATTTATTTCTCCGAAGACACACCCCTATTACCCCCCAGAACCAGCCTCTCTTCTGTTACCTGTCCTGGAAGAACCGACGGAAGCCAAAGGCCACTAGTTTGAAAACAGACTCCAAGACGAAGATGACAGTGAAGATGTAATTGCAGATCTTCAGCGCCTCATCCAGGATCTGGCAGGGATGGGGGCAAGCATCAGCATTATTGAAGGCCATGGCTGATGCCTGCCTTTCCCCCTCTACCATCCCTCACACACCTGGGAGACAGGGAGGCTAAGGAACCTTCCATCCTGTTCCCCCCACAATGGCTGACAGTGAGCTGCTACCCCAGGCTCTTCACTCACATGAATGACTCAAATCTTGTGCTGAAGGATCTCTTTCTCCTTGAGAAACAAGGAGAAGACTACAGACGAAATGTACTGGAAGGCACAGAATGCTAGGTCTGGAAGGGTTCACGTGCATTACCAATCCAACCTCCTCATTGTACGGATGAGAGGATGACTGGCAAGATCACAGGGGACTTTTGGAGCTGTACAATCACTCTACCTTCTTTTGTTGTTGTCCTTGTGAGACTGGGACTCAAACTCGGTATGATGCTTTGCTCATTGGCTGGTGCTCTACCAACTGAGCTACACCTCCAACCCCCACTCTACCTTCTTTACCTTCCATAGTCCAGAACCCAGCACAGTTAGACACTCAATAAAAATGTGCTGGGTGGAGAAAGCAAGTCCTCTACTTCCTAGCTCTCTCCCTGGTTAGGTAACCTCTCTGAGCCTCAGTATCCTCATCTCTAAAAACAAAGATGGTATCTACCTCCAAAGGTTACTGCCATGGGTACCAGAAGGGTCATGTAGTGTTCGCAATTCTTGCCTGACACAGAGATGTCCTGGGTTAGGCTATGTTGGGGTCACCCCAGTGCGAGGGAGGGGATGGACAGACATGGTTGGAGGTAGGAGGCAGGTAGCATCTCACTCACTCTTACCTGGGGCTGCTGGTAATGTTCCATAGCCATAGTGACCACATTCAACCCGATGACACCGGTGATGAAGAGGTCCAGGTAGTGGCTGGTGCACAGGTGATGGACGAGCAGCCGGAAGCGGGAGTAGTCTGAGTAGTAGGGCTTGCATTGGGCTTCTGGTGGAGCAGGGAGGAGAGCAGAGCAGGCATTGGGCCTCTGCTCTGGGCACCCTCCACCCGCTTGTCCCTCCCCATCACCAGCCTCTAACACTACAGGTGAAACATTCCATGTCATCAGCGTCCCAGCGCTCCCCTCACTGTCCTTTGGGGGGACAGCTCTCTTGCCGTGTCCCCCTCCAAGCATCTGTTCTACTGGCTACAGTCAGGGCAGGACATGCAGAGATCCCTACCTACATTAGCCACCAGGTGAGCCCACACCCCAAGGCAACCTCTAAAATCCACCAGCCCCTTATCACAGCCTTGACTCAGTGTTCCGCAGTGAGGTCAGATCAATAAGAGGAAATACACTGATTCAATCGGGCTCAGAGGCAGCTAGGACAGAGAGGCCAAGAAGGCTCTGGTATCTTCCAAGCTCGGCCCCTGGGGGTGGCAAGGAGACTATACGGAGCTGGGATTTGCGGATACAACCGGAGATTGGAAATTGGAAATTATTTCAGCTGGCTGCACCGACCCATCACAGGGCTGGCAGAGCCTGGGTCTCCCACACTCTCCTATGGAGAGGGTGGAGGGGGAGCTCCAAGGCTCTGCTCTATCCCAGACTCAAGCCAGGAGGGTCTTCCTTGCTGGACTCACCCAGTGTCTAATGAGGCTGTGCCCAGCCTGCCTCGGGTTTTGGCATGGCCCGAGACCACAAGCTGGGCTGGAAGCACTGTCTGAGATCTGTCACAGGCATAGAGCTCCTCTTGTAATTAGCCAACTACTTAGAAAAATCACAGTGCCAGAGGTCAGCCCGCTAAGCAGACAGAAGAAATCTGGGGGCAGGAGACTGTAGGGGCCCTCCTCCAGGTGTGGAGGAAGGGCCAGGCCAAGGTGAGGGCATTATCCACGGGGTGTCAATGGATTGGTCTTACATGCAGCTGCAAAGAGGGAAGAGACTCCCCACAGGGAGGCATGGGGCAGCCTCAGGTCCCAGACAGCCTTCCCTTCTCTGGAGGTCTTGGCGGAAGCCAGCCAGCAAAGGCTGCAGCCTCTGAGGCCTATGCCAGCAGCCAGCTGGCTCAGGGGCGGCAGGAAGCTTTGGGCCCAGGCCAGCTCAAAGTTAATTGCCCTTTCCCATGCAGAGGACCTCTTAATAGAGAGGTAAACTGAGGCAGGGAGTGGCCTGGTGTAGGCCCCCCACCAAAGGCCAAAGGAAGAAGAGTGCCTAGGAGCAGCATGGGCTGCCCTGCTCCAGGCCCACCTGGCTCCTCTCCCCCATCGGCCTTGAGGTGTGGATAATCAGGGCCAAGAGATGCAACAAGTTCAGGTGCACCTTAGGGGTACATGAAGTTATCGCTTGGTTTTCAGAGTTGGACCAGCCAAGTGCGGCTCTGTTTGTTCAGGTGGCCCTCTTAACCCCTAGGAACATGGGGTAGAGTGGCCTAGGGCAGGGGACAATATGAGACCACAGATCATCCACATCCGATGGTGAAGGGTGGCCAGGCCAGCCGGGCCTCTTCCTTCCTTTCTTCCTTCAGTACCACGAGAACCAGAGGGCGCTAGTCACCCTGCGTTGCCTTAGCAGCCGGAACTCTTTCTCTGCATTAATCTCCATAAATGCCGAGAGCACCCGATCCCATTATGCTAAAATATGAATGGAGAATTAACTAAAATGTTTGAATACAATTAGGTTAGAAAAAGCAGCTCCTTATTAGCCACATTATTAGTTGAGACAATGTAGAGGGGAGGCTGGAAGGGAACGGAAAGGAACGGTTCACCCTCCCCCCCACCTTGTCACCCCAGACAGGCTATGGAGGCAAGCTCCAGGCCAGATGGAGCAGCTGCCACCACCAACTCTGCTTTCCAGCCTTGCTTGAGACGTCTGAGTAGTGGATGGGCTTAAACTCAACCAGTGACATTTCTTTAAGAGGCCTGGAGGATGGAAGGACTGAGGCTGGGCATCTGCTTTATGGCCACAGATTCCGGGCTCTGGTGTGTGTGTGTGTGTGTGTGTGTGCTCTGGTGTGTGTGTGTGTGTGGGCTCTGGTGTGTGTGTGTGTGTGTGTCCCTCCCTACAAATCCCTCCCTTCTGACCAGTAGGCACTAAAACTACCTGGATTCCCCCCAACCCCTCCACCCCTAACACACACACACAGAGCCTACTCTCCCATTAAAGTCTCGGTCCAAGATCACCAGGCTGAGAACAAGCTGCTTGCTCTGCCATACAGAGAAGAGAAAGAGGCCCAGCAGATGAGTCGTCTCCCACACTGAGCCACCAGCTAGCCATCAGGACTCCAACTTCCAGCCTGGGTTGTGACACCTATCTCCCTCTTCCCACCAAAAAACCCAGAGTCAAGAACAGTAGAAAGAAGGGCACCAGGCCCCAAGTCAGGTTCTAGGGACAGAGGACAGGAGTGCAAGGTTATGTGACAGCAACAGGCATGGTGAGTTAGTAGGGGCCACTGGGAGCCCAAGGCAGGGCCAGGGCTGATGATTTGCAAATGGATCCTGGAAGGGAGTAGGCAAGAAAGCAGAAATCGTTCCAGGGATGTGGACGCCCCAAGGCAGAGACCACACCTTCAGCTGATGTGGGTCCCAGTCTGGGGGGAGGAGTGAGCGTGAGTAGAGGTGGAGGCTACAGAGGGCCTAAGGAGAGAGGAGCTGGTGCTGGGGGCCGAGTGTCCCTAGAATTGGCCTAATCATACAGCAGCTCTGGTCCCTCTGGTCAGACTCAAGTGTCAGGCCCATTGCCCTGAAAACCAGACTCTTCCCTGCCTCCTTCTCTGGGTCTGGCAACCTCTCTTGCTGGGAGCAGCACCAGGGTGGGAGGAAGGGGAGGGTCCCAGGAGGGTCCCTGGTACTCTGGTACTGGTTAACTACTAGCAGCCCCAGTTTCATCCCAGCCCTTGGTTTCATCCCATTCCTCTTGGTAAGCAGACCAGTACATTAGCATACCAGTGTCTGAGAACTAGTTAAAATTGCTGACACCAGACCACGCTAGAAGACCTAGGAGCCTGAATACTCTATCCAAGTGATTCTTAGACATACCAAAATTTGGAAAGCTCTGATGGAGACCCTGGAGAAATCTAGGAACCTGGGAAGAAGGACATAGGGGACTCTGAGACCTTCTTACAGTTGGTTTTTTCAGTCATGGGGCTTGAACTCTGTCCCTGACCTTTTTTTGTTCAAGGGTAATGCTCTACAATTTGAACTACAGCTTCACTTCCAGGTTTCTGGTGGTTAAGAGATAAGAGTCTCACAAACCTTCCTGTCAGGGATGGCTTTGAATTGTGATTCTCAGATCTCAGCCTCTTGAGTAGCTAGGATTACAAGCATGAACCACTAGCACCCAGCAGGGTCTCCGTCTTTACTAATAGCCAGGAAAAATAATGCATGTGTCAATAGGAACAGGCTAGAATTCAGAATGGGGGTAACAAAGTGAGAATAACCAGAGTGTTTGCCATGGAACAATGCTACATCTTGTGGACTAGGAGAGCCTGTGTGTGTTGGTTCATCTGAGCTTCAGAAGCCTCAACGGGACAGTTCTGTACTGGGGTAGCTTTTTTGGGGTACACATGAGTATGTAAAACACTGTAGTCTACAGTCTACGGGGACCCACAAAGGAAAAGCTGAAGGCCCACTTCCTGTCGCTTTTCTTTCATCCCCTGATGCTTCTAGGATTTGCAAAACAGCCTGGCAGAGATATGGGGACCTCGGTAATCCAGGGCCTAGCCCAGACAGAGACTCCTGTGCCCACAGACAGATGGTCACAATGCCACACACCATAGTTCAATGCCACAGAGTCAGGAGATAGAGATTTGCCAAGGGCTGAATCTCCTCTTGAGCTGGTCCCTGAGCCTCCACAGACCAGGCAGCCCAGCACACCCAGGGTGGCCTCTGCCTGTATCAGGCAGTGGGGAAGAGTGGAGAATGGTACAATCAGCAGTCCCCAGACTGAAGTCCCAGGCCCTGAGCAGCCTAAAAAGGCAGCCATACAGGGGTCCTTTCATTCTTTGTAATATTCCTAAAAGTTTAAAAGAAATTACACACTTGCCTATGTGAAGACCCCACAGACTGATAATAATAGCCAACTGGTCTTTCTTTACATCATTCAGTATGCGGCCTTCTGCGGCGCAGAAGCTCTGATTTGCAATTACATGGGCCGTGGATTAGTAAAAAATGGTGAAATAAAGCCATTATTAAAGTGCTCAAACTTCAGACAAGAGTCTTTCAAAACGTGGGATTTGTTGGAAGAGACCATAAGGGAGATCCTGGGGATAAACAGCTTGGGAACCACCAGGCAGAGACATCAGGGAATGTGACAAGACCTACAGACCTGTCACAGACTCTGATTCTCCGAACCTCCATCTGGGGGCCAATATGGCGGGACCAAGGGACTGAGGGAGATATGGAGGGTGTGAGGTGGGGCAGGAGGCACCCGGAAGCCTTCCCAGAGACACAGCTTTTAGAGATAAGGACACAACTCATTCTCAAAACCATTTTTTTGGGGGGGTTGAGGTGGGGAGGAAAGGAAGCTTGTGGCTAACTCAGGCCTCTGACTCCCAATTCTTGCTGTTTGTAGCGATGACGTGGCTATCCTGATTACTTGACTATTAATGAGCCCGTTCAATTATTCATCGTTACATTTTTAAAACAAACCCTTCCCCTCTCTGTTCCTGTCAGCCTGCTCCGTTGGATCAAAGTCTCCCTTTCAGACAAAAGGAGGCAGGGAGAGTTGCAGTTCTAATAATCCAGCCATGAGACTAGGGAGGAGGGCCATGGAGGCCAAGGAGCAAGGCCTGGGATCTCTACTGAGGCTAGGCATCATCCAAGAGGTGTCAGAGTGTCTCATCTCCATCCAGCCTATGGGAAAACATGGACCCAGTGCTTCAGGCCCTGCTCTCTTGGGAGCCCCAGGGGCCCTCAGCCCTTCACCCCGGAGGATAGAATCAATGAGCCATGGAGAGGGAGCAAAGAGCAGGTCCCCACAGGCATGAACCCACACCCCAGACTCAGTACCTGAAGCAGCGCTGGCTGAGCTGCCGGGAGCAATTACATCGTCCAACATTAGATCTAAAAGAACGAAACATGATATCGGTCATTGGCTGGACCAGGTGTGCTGGGCAGGGCCCCTCAGCAGCTCGCTCCCCCTCAGCTCCGACCCTCATTCTGACTACGAATGGGGTGTACTGAGCACATGGATGGCTGGAAGAAGACAAGTAAAGCAGCCAGTTCACTGGGGTCATGGAGGCTTTGAGAGGGACAGGCAGCCTGACTCCAGAACACATGTCCATCTCTACCTGTGCCATGGCCTCAGCTGTAGACCCCAGAAGGAGAGCCAGCTGGACAGGCAGGGGCCACAAGTACCTCCTGCCAAAAAATATTCCATCTGCAGATGGCCCTGCCGAAGTGACCCACTGCAAGGTGTGTGGGGTTGATGGAGCAGGGGTGGGAGCGTGGTGCTGGGATAATGCACCTGCTCAGCCTCAGACTCTACAGGGAAGAAGAGCCCAGACCCCAGCATGGAGTTGGGCAGGGGGCCTTGTGGGACTGGTGGATGGATAGGAGACATGAGGGAGTACACTATCCATGGCTACCCAGAGGCAAGTGTCCCTTCCACGTCCTCCTGGAGCACCCCCCTCTCACAGAGAGCACGGTCCTTTCCTCCTCATCGTTACTTTCGACTCCCATACTCATCCCCTCTTCCACGTGCCTGCCGTAGGCGGCAGGAGATGCAGTGGGAGGAGAGGGCTGCAGGGATACCACAGCCCCGCAACTCATTTGGTGGTACTCACATTTCCACACACCAAAGGGAAACCCAGAGTACTGCATACATCTTATCAGCAGAAGGCAGCCGGTGTGTGAGAGGGTGGAGAGAGGGAAACCCACAGACCAAAACAGGAAGAGACACACAAAGACTTGGAAACCCACACAGAAAGACACGTGGAAGGACGTGGGCTGACGGAAAGAGAGAGAGAGAGAGAGAGGCATGGAGATTATGGAGTACCAGACAGATGGGAACCCTGAAGAAGAAAGCCAGGTGTGCACGCACCTGCACACATACCACAGACAAAGCGGCTCACGCAGCCGCTGCTCTCGATCCTTCCCAGACTCCGTGTGTGTCTTTTTTCACCTAGTCTCAGTCTGCCCATGGCATAACAGCAGGAGGAGGAAAGGTACGGGGCCTCACCTTCCCCAGGTAAGAGAGGCTGGGAGCGCAGGGGAAGGGCTAGAGGGCCTGAGGCCAGACATCCATGCATTTAGAGTCCTGGTGACCTTGGATTTTCCCTGAGCCAGGGGGAGATTTTGTAGGGGGAGGAGGAGGGAAAGTGGCCAAAAAAAAATCCCCCCAACAATCAGGAGGCCAGGTCATTTGAATGGAATGATGGAGGGTAGGACTGAAGATTTCTCTCCAATGCTGCTTTTTGTAGGTTTTGCCAAGCTCTGGCTCAGCAGCTAGACACAGGGCAGGCCCAGGGGGTCAGGATGCATGCCCTGCAACTCTGAACAAGCAGGCCTGACACCAGGGCCAATCCTTTGGTCACTGGATACAGGCACAGGGCAATAGAGTGTCAGGTTCGGTTCTCATTCCTGAGGCTCCTCTGAGAGTCGAGCTTAGAGCCAAGCATCCACTCCAACCTGGCATCTTCTGGGGAGTATGAGGCTGGGACCCAGGGAACCCCCTGGGGGGGCAGCTTGCTCCCTCCTGGGGCTGACCTGGTCTGCTTCATGCGGGCTCTAGAGGCAGACATGCTGTTGGGGGGAAGGAGATGAGGGAGGGGGTGGGAGTAGTACTCCCCTACCCCAGCCCCAGCCCCTTGCCCTCTGCAATGGCAAGGCCAAGGTCAAGCACGACCCAGAGAGATGTGGAAAGACTACCGACCGGCCATCTGCTTCTCCTTACTCCTTCTCTTTTTCTCCAGTCTCCGCAGCCGCTTCTCCTCCCGCCGCCTTGCCTCCTCCTCCTCTTGGTGCTGCCGGCACTTGTGGAAATTCTCCACCACCACACCCACAAACATGTTCAGGACAAAGAAGGCCACGATGAGCAGGAACGAGATGAAGTACAGAAGCATCCAGGGGTTATGGTTCATGATGGGCTGGTAGGGAGCAGCAAGGACAAGTGAAGGAGACATTAGCCGTAGGGGGGAACTGTCTCAGGTGCTGTCCACATGGGCTGGGCTTCTGCAAATTCCAGAGGCCCTGACAGGTGAATGGATGGTGTGGGTTTGGCAGTAGGTAGTGGGGAGGAGAGGAGACTGTAGCAAAGGAAAAACTACTTTTTTTGGGGGGGGTCTTTCCTGGGGCTTGAACTTAGGGCCTCGGTGTTGTCCATGAGTTTTTTCACTCAAGGCTAGGGCTCTAGCACTTTGCGCCACAGTGCCACTTCTGGTTTTCTAGTGGTTAATTGGAGATAAGAGTCTCATGGATTTTCCTACCCAAGCTAGCTTTGAACCGCGATCCTCAGATCTCAGCGTCCTGACTAGCTCATCATGAGCCACCAATGCCTGGCTGCTTCTTTGTTCTAGCTGAACATTCTAGCATCTTCTCCTGCCCTGAGAGAATATAAGCCCAGTATTCCAGACCTTCGGATTTCCTTGTAAGTAGCCCCTAATCTGGATTTTTATGTCAAATTTACCAGTTTTTAAATGTTAACTACTATGCAAACAATTTTTATATGTGCTGCAGGTCCATAGGCCAAGATGTGATACCTCTTTGATAGTGTGTTGCTCTTTCTGTCTAGTGCCTATAGCATCATTATGCCAGGCACCAGCTCCGGCTGAATCATCTGAGCCCAGAGATAGGCCTTGCCCATCTCAGCCTTACCTGCTGGTCCACGCCCACAGCATCAAGCCCATCGTACATGATGTCCACCCAACCATCTTTGGAGGCCAGCACAAACAGCGACATTAGAGCCTGGGGAGAGGGGCAAGGGAGACACACCATTTAAAGTCTAGAACGTGCCACCAAAGCACCACTGGCAGCAGCCTTGGTTCCCAGCCCTTGGAGACTGCACTCTGGACCAAGGAGTGCATTCTATCCCATGGTGCCATGTTGTTCTGAAGCCTCCAATCTCAGTCAAGTTAGGGCAAGGGAGCCCAGAGCCCTGGGAATCCAGAAACCAAACCAGTGGGGTCTGGGAAGCAAACCAGCACAACTGATTGAGCTACTTCATTTTCTGCAGTTCTGTTTCTGCAAACAAGGAGCAGAAAGGAATCCTTTTGACAAAATGTACCCAAGCCTAATGTTGGTGCCTCATGACTGTAATCCTAACTATTCAGGAGACAGAGATCTGAGTTTTGAGGTTTTAAATCCACCCAGGCAGACGAATCAAAGACTCTTACCTGCAATTAACCAGCAAAAAGGGAAAACTGGAGGTGTGGCTCAAGTGGAAGAGCATCGGTTGTGAGCAGAAAAAACTGAGCAAGAGCACAAGTCCCTAAATTCAAGCCCTAGTACTAGCACACATACATGTATGCATGCATGCATGCATGCATTCTCTTTCTCTCTCTCATACACACACACACACACACACACACACACACACACAATGCACCCTGATCTTTATTATTTATTTATTTTGTTGGTTGTGGGGCTTGAACTCTGGGCTTGGGTGTTGTCCCTCAGCTCTTCATCTCAAGGCTAGCACCCTATCACTTGAGCCACAGCACCACTGCCAGTTTTCTGAGTGGTTTATTGGATATAAGAGTTTCATGGAGTTTCCTGCTTGGGCTGGCTTTAAACTGGGATCCTCAGATCTCAGCCTCCTATGTAGTTAGTATTATAGGTGTGAGCCATAGACATTCAGCTATTTTTTATTTTTTGCTGGTCCTGGGGCTTGAACTCAGGGCTTGGGTGCTGTCCTTGAGCTTCTTTTGCTAGAGCTACAGTGCCACTTCTGGCTTTTTTGAGTAGTTTATTAGAGATAAGAATCTCACAGACTTTTCTGCCTTGGCTGGCTTCACACCATGCTCCTTAGATCTCAGCCTCCTGATTAGCTATGTTTACAAGCAGGAGCCACCAGTGCCTGGCTGCATCCTAACCCTTTTGAGCAGATATTCATATTACCATGTTGAAGCTTTGCCAGGAGCCCCAAGAAGATACTATTATGACTCCATCCACCAGCCAATGAAACTGAAGTGCTGGCAGGTCAGTTGTCCACAGCCACTGAACTGACAACAACAGTGATAAGATCCATACACAGGGCTCCCTGGCCTGAGTGCTTTGTGCTCTGCCATGTAGCACTGTGGCCCTGAGCCAGTTGCTTACCCTATCTGAGCTTTTATTTCCTCATCTTTAAGAGGGCTGGAAACTTTCAGGGGCCTACATGCTGAGCTGTGCAGATGGACTAGCTTTGGAACATGATGGTAGTTAAGGTAGCTGAGGGCCAATCTCTGTGTCTTCTCCCACAGGAATCAGCATGGAGCACAGACTCCGGCTACTCCCCACTCCCTATCCCTGGAGGTTGGGGCTCACCTGGCCAAGATTGTCAAAGTTGTACTTGTGTCGAACCCACCGGTAGCTGGCCTCAGTACAGTCAGACTTGTTGGTAATATTCCTAGTGTCTTCACCCTGGCACACGAAGAACTTCCCTTTGAAGAGCTAGACACGCATGACAGAGACAGAGTGAGAGATGGCCAGGGAACACAGGACCCCTAGCCTAGCCCCACCCCAGCTCTGGAACTTTGAGTATGCCCTGTGGGGAAGGATTCATCTCCACAGCCTGGCCCATCAAGTCAGTGTCTCTGATGGGGGCCTTCCTAGAGAGGGAGGGAAGATGGGGAAGAAGGGGGTGGGGAGAGCTAAGTTAGTGGTGCTCTGATTAGTGGTACAGGTCCTTGTGAAGTGTTCCTTCTCAGGCTCACCCCAGATCTAATGAGTGGGCCTGACCCTTTACCAGCCGTGCCGGTGATCCTGACACATGCTCAAGTTAGAGGATTACTGGGCTAGGTGTTTCACTCTCTATGACAGGGAGAGAGTGTTCAGCCCCACCCCATAGAGGAGAAAAACTGAGTTTTAAATGTGGCATACTCAGTAGCTGACAGAAAAGGGCTGGAATGTGGGTCGGTCTGGAAAGCTCACTCTCATACCAGGGTACACCCAGGCATGATTACTGGGATGTGTGAAGGAAGGACCAGGCGCCTGGAGCGAGCTGCTTGGGACAAACCAAAACTCACTGAAAGAACCTCAGGATTGGGCTCAACAATGGTACACTCCCCTAAGCCAAGGAGGCCAGGAAGTGGGAAAGAGGGTGGGCACTGGGATGTGTGGGGTGCAGGCCTGGCAGAAAGGCTCTGTGGAGCTTTGGCAAATGCAGCCTGGTCCTTGGGGCTAGAGAGTTTCTAGGAAACCAAGGAACAGCCCCTCCCCAGGGCACAGTGGGCATCAGAGGAAGCCAGAGGTAGCCACCCAGAAGTTCCCACACTGCCTCAACAGCCAACTGACTACCCTGCAGCTGGAGCAGGGACACTAGAAGATGGAGTGTGTGTGTGTGTGTGTGGGGGGGTGTTTCCCAGTCCCCCAAGGCGTCTGCTGAATCGTGCAGGCAGCTCTGGCTCTTTTTCCTCTAAAGTCAAGTTTCCTCTCTGGGCCAGAAGCCAGGTTTCCCCAGCAGCCCCCACTTCCTGCCTCGTCTGGGGTCTGCACCCGTCTGCCTGCCAGCGCTCCACTAACCTGGCCCAGCTGTCTGGGCCTTGGATCCCCAGACCTGGCATACAGCCCGCCTTGCTCAAGCAGGGAAAGAAGGGAGATCCCCGAGTAGACTTGGGGCCAGTGTGTGCCTGTGAGAGGTAGAGCAAGGGGCGGGGGTGGGGTGGGGTGGGAGACTGGAGTCTGCAGCTACCATGGGCCTGAAGTTTCTCTGAGGCCAAGCCTCCTTTGGAAATCTTCCTCTCCTTTCCCAGTAAGAGACAAATGGATCTGGGGCCTAGTTCCTGGAGGGAAGGATTCAGGCAGCGGCCTGGCTTGGGGGACAAGAGGAGGTGTATACTTCCGGCTTTCATAGACAAACCCTTGGACCCAGCATACCTGAACCCCCAGGATGCCAAAAATGATGAAAAAGGCACAACAGATGACCACAATGTTGCCGATGGGCTTCAGGGAGGACATCAGTGTCTCCACCACCAGTTTCAGACCCTGGGCCCGGCTGATTACCCTGGAGAGCACAGGGAGGAAGGGTGAGAGGGGCTCTCTAGCTCCGACTCTCCCTCTTCTTTGTCCTGTTAGGACTCTGACTTCCTTCTGCCTCGGCTCATGGTCCCTTCATCTGCTCTACTTTCTGGGCTCGCTGTACAGAACAGAGTCCTCTTTTCATGGAATCCCCGCCCCCCCCATGAGGACCCCCATCTGTAATCTCTCCAAACAGGTGGCACAAACTCTCAGCTCCCACCTTCCCCAGCTCCACCTCCAGGATGTCAAATGTTCCCTGAGCGGAGGTGACTCAGGGAGGCTTTCCCTGGGGATGCCTGTGTGATATGGGGAGCAGGTGTGGGGAGGAAGAGGGGGGGTGGGGGAATATGGGTATCACAGCCAGAGAAGTCGCACTGTTAAGTCAGTATTGTTCCCCATGCAGGAAGACACCCTAAAGTCTCCTGAGTGGGGGGCAGGGAATGACTGCCAGGCTGGAGGGCACATCAGCTGTCAGGAGCACTGCTGCTCCAGGGGTGGACCCTGACAGATGTCGAAGGTGGGTCAGCCAGCAAGAGCATGTGTCAGCTCACAGGAAGGGCCAAGCATCACCCCCTAGGGCCCCCTAAGGGAGAGCTTTGGATCTCCTTGGCGGCCATGAAGGCCCTGCCTTAACAGGACTGATTATGTCACACAAAGTGGCCCTGATGAGCGTGCCACTCTGGAGAGACACCCAGTAAAGAAGTGAGCGCGGGAGGGGATGTTCTGGAGCGTTATGATCGGAATGTTGTCTGGAGCGGAATCCCAGACAGGAGGTCGGACACATGAAGGATTCGGTCCTAACAAGTATCCTCAAGGGATACATATTGTAAGGGAAGGGGTTGTGTGGAACTTCCAGGGAGGGGGCACCTGAGCGGGCGCAGGGTCCGCAGCAGCCGCAGCACCCTCAGCATGCCCAGGATCTTGGTACCACTGTCGGAGACCATGGACACCAGGATGTCGATGACTGAGATGAGCACCAGCAGCCCGTCCAGCACATTCCAGCTGCTGCGCAGGTACGCCTGCTCCCCGAAGCACCAGCCCAGAGCCACCACCTGGAGACCACCGCCATGTCACCGCTCATCTTTCCTGCTGCCCCCAATCCATCCCTCCTCCTTCAGCTCCAACCACTGTTCCCATGCTCATCGGAAACCAGAGAACCCAAACTAGCAGCCAACCCCCATCACCTTTACTGTCATTTCAGCCAGAAAGACTGCAGTGAAGATGTAGTTGGAGAGGGTCAGGAAGATGCGCTCCTGCAAGAGAGAAGAGGCAGGTGTTGCCCACCAGGAGGCCCCATCCACCAGCCAGATTAGGTCTGCATACAGAAGCCCAAAGCTGCTTTGAACGTTTAAAGCACGAAGCTGACCCCCACCCTCGCTAACAATGCAGATAACCTCAAAAAGTGCGCTCTTCCTCTCTCTCTCTCTCTCTCATCAGTGCCAGCTCCCAGTCTCACTTTACAGCTCCGTGAACAGTCTTGTCGCGACTCCTGAACAGAACCCCCCACCCCCAAACCCGTGGTTCAGATGGGACACATTCTGCGCCGCAGTGCTGCTATCCAAGTCTTAAATTCCAGGCCCGATTCCCTGATTCCTTTCTTGAAACTAGAGCAGGATTTAACTTGATCTCTGACTCCTGTCCGCCATCCTACCCTCCTTACAGCTTTGCTTTCCTGCTGTGTGCCCCAGAAATAGAGCAGCAGACAAGCAAGGGGCCTGGGTTCAGACTCCACAGACACTGCATTTCTGCCAGGCATTCTGGTGTATTCTGGTGTCTATGGGCTGAGGTGTGTAGAGAGGGTGTAGAGAGCTTGAGCCACAGCTAGAAACATAAGCCTGAGAGTGGGGAACAGAGAAAGGGAAGGAGGGAAAAGCAGGAACAATGGGAACTGGAGATGGATTTAAGGGGGAGGTAGTTACAGGGCCTACACAGGGACGAGTGGGGGGGGTGTCATCATCCCAATCAGAGCACTGCTCACCCATTGAGTGCTAGGCTGGCCTCTCCATTCCTCAGGCTCCTCCATCCCCCACCCTGGCCTGGCTGGAGCCCACCCTAATGGGAAACAGAAGCCCCAGCAGCATTGAAATCCAAACAATGATGTGGGAGGCAGCAAGGAGGGACAAGGAAGACGGCGGGGTTGGGGGGGGGTAGAGGGGGCACCTCTGGCCATACCACTTACTTGTATAAAATGCTGAGAGGAGAAACAGACTGTCTTATGCCCTTCTAGGCTCTGAACTGCTCAAAGTAGGGAGAGGCTGTGATGCCAGTCTGGGAAAGACAGCTCCCAAAATGGGATGTGCTCATCCCAAAGAGAAGAGGCGCCTAGTCAGGACAGCCAGTAGTCATGTCTCTGGCCTCTTTTGGCCTCCGGAAAACTGACAGGTTCCTAGCCAAGCATAAATGAATAACATCCCTCAACTACAGCCCAGAAAACTGACCTGTTTGGGACCTGACAGGACCATAAGGAGGAAAGAGTGGCTTCCTTGTTATCTACAGGGAAGGCTGGGTGACATGTCCCTCACAATATGTCAATCACAGTGAAAACAAGACCCTAGGCCAGGTACAGCCTATGCAGGACCAATCTCATGTACATCACCCTCTCACAGGGCTCACACCCATGTGCCTTGTAAGCCTTTGGCACAGAGAACAGAGCCTGTGTTGTGGCAGAGCACCTGGCTGTGTTGGTGTGCCCATAGAGGGAAACTGAGGCAGGATCCAGAAGGTTATATTGGGAGTCCAGGAGCAAGAGCCAGAGTCCAAGAGACCCAAGGGAGGATCCTGACTCCTGTCTGTGATGTGTGACCTTGGACAGGCTGTGATGTGTGACTCTCCGGCCTTCCGGCTTCTCTTGCTTGTTCTAAACACTGACCCAGGACAGGCCTGATACCTAGGAGGACTCAACAGCCATGTTTACAGTCCCAGTGACTCACAGCACTGTGGGGGTCAATTTTGGGGCGCTCCATGGCAATGGTGATACAGTTGAGGAAGATGATGACGAGGACCACATGGTCAAACATCTTGTGGGTGATAATCCGGTGACAAAGGAGGCGGAATCTATTCCAGGACAGAGGCAAAGATTGAGAGGCATCGCTGGCAGATCCCACCCCCTGAAGGACCCTACATCCCCACAGAAGGACAGCACTGCACTGCATAGGTTAGAGCCCCAACCTACCTCGACTGAGGAGGGAAGATGTAGGCAGACCAGGAGTCTCGCTCACGGCAGCAGGCAGGGAGCCTGGCTCGGATCCAGGCTCGGATCCGTTCCCCTTTGCTCTGTGGAAAGAACACTGGGGCCTGAGCAGAACAAAGCCGCTGAGACTACCCCCTCCCCCTCAACCCATCTTGACTCCTGGACAGCACCAGACCCTTGATCTGGTCTCTGCCTCTCCTACCTCTAGCCCAGCCCTCTGCTCTACCTCTCTTTCTTCCTGAAACCACTTCCCATCTCCCTCTAAGCCCTATAGGTTGTCTCTTCTTGAGCATCACCATCAATCCCTGCTTCATCTCCCCCTCTACCTCCCTCAACAGAAGCTTTCTGCTCTTCCCATCCCTGCCTCCATCCCAGTCCACCCCCACATCCTCCCTCCTGCCCTCCTCCTTCCTTCCCTCCCTGCTGGGCTTGAAAGCTGCATCAATTATCAAACATTGTACTCATCACAGCTGTCTGCTCAAAGACACACCTGGACCGAGGAGACTGATCCTTCTCCTCACATGTTAACCCTGCATGCTGGATCCCTGCATCCATCCCCAGAGTAAAGGGCAGGGCGGGGGGAGGGGGCAAGCGTGAGGAAGCTGGGGGAGGGGTGGAGGGGTAAGGACAGGCTAGAAGTCAAGGCTTGTGATGAGGTCCAGATGAGAAAAGGGGACAGGAGAAGGACATCAGTTTAGAGAGATGAGTGATGGGTCTTTCTGAGTCACAGGGGAGGGCCATGAAAGATTCATACACATCTGCCTGAAGCCATTCATATCCACCAAAGACAGCAGGGCCGCAGCCCCAGGCATGACAGAGACCCAGGGCTCTGCAGGATAGCAGAGGGGGAATGGGGGCCCGTTTGGAGGTCAGCTTCCAGGGGGGACATCGCCGTGACACACTGCCCACTGGGTACAGTTGCCCTGTCTTGAGGTCAGCAGTGAAGGGTCACTATGTCCACGAGGGACTCACCAGGTTTCCCTCATCGTCCGCATCATCCCCATCTAGCGGTGGGTCATCGGGCCGCAGGGCCTGGGCCAGGCGCCCCGAAGCTGACTTGCCATTGCAGTCCTGGTGCTCAGAGGCAGAGCTGCGGCCACTGGCTGTGCGGTGCAGCCCGGGCACCTGCAGTGTGTCGGGCAGGTCGAAGGAGCTCTTGGCTTCACGCTCCAGGGAGCCTCGATGGCGCCGGTCACTGCCTGCTGGGCTTGCCCGCTCTTCTTCTGAGCTCTCATCCTCATCCTGGCTCTCCTGGCCCTCACCGGACAACAGGGACCTTCTCTCCCCACTAGGACTCCTTCGCTTCAGGCTTGGGGCACGACCCAGGCTGTTGCGGCTGGAGCGCCTGCTGGTCCAGCTGCTTGCTGCACTCCAAGGGCTATGTGGGGAGCTGCGGGCACTGGGCTGAGGAGAGGAAAAAAGGAGGAGTGGTTTCATTCAGGGCTACAGAGCTCTATCCTCTCTGGTAAGCTTCATGGGCATGACACTGGGAGTGAACAAGAGACCTGGACTCTAAGCCAGGGTTCAGATCTGGGCTCACCCATTCAACTGTGTGACCTGAGGCAAGTTATTAAACTCCTCTGTGCCTGTTTCTTCATCTGTAAGGGAGATATGGAAATAGCCCTTGTTCTTCATTTACTTATTATTGTTGGTGATAGGTAAAGTAAAATAGCCATGAGAAGAAACTCAAACAAGTCAAACAAGAAGACAATGCCATTAAAAAGTGGGCACAGGAACTAGGTATCAGTAGCTCCTGCCTGGAATTTCAGCCTCTCAGGAGGCTAAGATCTGAGGATCACTGTTTGAAGCCAGCCCAGACAGGGAAGTCTATGAGACTCTTATCTCCAATTAGCCAGCAAAAAGCTAGAACTGGAGCTGTGACTCATAAAAGTAGAATGGTTAGCAGAGAGCAGAAGAGCTCAGGGATGGTGTCCAGGCCCTGAGTTTAAGCCCCAGAACCAACACAAAAACAAAACAAAGAAGTAGCAGAGGCCCTGAATAGACATTCCTTAGAAGAAGGCACACAGCCAACAGGGATATATGAAAAAAAAATCAACATCACTGATCACCAGTGAAATGTAAATTAAAAGCATAATGAGCCAGCACCTCCCACATGTTAGAATGGCTATCAAGATGGATATGGGGAGAGGGAAGCCTTGCACACTGTTGGTAGGAGTATAAGTTAGTACAGTCATCATGAAAAACAGTATGAAGATTCCCAAACAACTAAAAATAGGACTACGGCATAATCTAGCAAGTTCATTACTGGATATATGTCAGAAGTATTTGAACTCAGTACATCTGTCCTATGGTCACTGCAACCCTGTCCATAATGGTCAACATAAAGACTATCAATCAATAAATGGGTAAAAAAATGTATATAACTCATTTATTTAATGGAACACTATTCAGCCTTTAAAAAGGAGGAAATTCTCTTATTTGTAATAACATGGATAACTCTGGAGGACATTACACTAAGCGAAACAAGCCAGCACAGGAAGACAAATAGTGTATGATCTCACTTGTAGACTCTAAGACAGTCAACCTCATATCAATAGATAACAAAATATGATTTACAGATAGGAATGGGAAAATGTTGGTCAAAGATACAAAGTTTCCATTAGAAAGAAGGAATAATTAGGGAGGTGGGGAGGAAAGGGATGGTAAGGGAAAAACAAAGGAGGGGGTAACAATGCTTGATAGGAAATGTACCCATGACCTTACTCATGTAAGTATCTTTACAATAAAAACAATACTAAAAAAAAAAAAGAAAGAAAGAAAGGAGGAATAACCAGCACTTATGGCCCAGGCCTGTAATCCTGGCAACTCAGGAGGATTCTAGTTTGAAGCCAGTCCCAGCAGAAAAGTCAATGAGATTCTTATATCCAATTAACCAGCAGGAAGCTAGAAACAGTGGTATGGCTTAAATGGTAGAAGGCTAGCCCTGAGCAAAAAAAAAAAAAAAAAAAAGGAAGCAAGACACGAGACCCTCAGTTCAAGCCCCCAGTATGGTAGAATTTAAAAAAAGAGAGAGAATAAAATTTTGTGATTTATTGCATAGCTCAGTTAATGATGTCATAATGTATCTTGCAGAATTGCTAAGAGTAGATTTTCAATGTTTATAACTCAAAAATGTATGGGAGGCTGGGTGCCGGTGGCTCATGCCTATAATCCTAATTACTCAGGAGGCTGAGATCTGAGGATTGCAGTTCAAAGCCAGCCTGAGCAGGAAAGTCCATGAGACTCTTATATCCAATAAATCACCAGAAAACCAGAAGTAGCTCAAGTGGTAGAGTGCTAGCCTTGAGCTGAAGAGCTGAGGGACAGCGTCCAGGCCCAGAGTTCAAGCCCCGCTACCACTACTACCACCAACAAAAATGTATGTGAGGTAAGATAATTAGCTTGATTTAACCATTCTATAATGTATAAATATATCAAAGCATCACATTTTACTCTACAAATACATACAATTATTTGTCAATTCAAAGTAAAGGATTAGAGGAGTGCTGGTGGCTAATGCCTATAAACCTAGATACTCAGGAGGCTGAGATCTAAGAATTGTGGCTTGAAGCCAGCCTGGGCAGTAAAGTACATGAGACTCATAAACCTTCATTTAACCACTATAAAAGCTGGAAGTGGAATCATGGCTCAAGTAGTAAAATGCTAGCCTTGAGTACAAAACCTCAGGGACAGTGCCCAGGCCCTGAGTTCAAACCCTAGGTCCTGCACCAGTGGCTCATACCTGTAAATCCTAGCTACTCAAGAGGCTGAGATCTGAGGATCTCAGTTCAAAACCGGCTTCAGCAGAAAAATACATAAGATTTTCATCTCCAATTAAAAAAAGCTGGAAATGGAGCTATGGCTCAAGTGGCAGAGTATCAGCCTTGAGCAAAAAAGTTTAAGAGACAGCACCTAGACCCTGAGTTCAAGCCCCAGTACTAGCACAAATGTGAGCACATACATACACACACACACTCACACAATAGCATGTGTGTCTAGTAGTGTCTGCCACAGACTCAGAAACTAGAGGAGAGTTCCACTAATGTGGTAATGTGTGAGAAGAGAGGGGTCCAAACCCCATTTTTTCAGAAGAGGCTCTGAGAAGTCTTGTTCAAGGTCACCCAGTGAGGGGACAGAAGAAAGCATAAGGGTCCTCCTTTTTCACTACCAAGGCTAAAGCTCTTTCAGTTGTCTGCATTGCCAGGCCTGCCTAGGGCTGTGTCTTTGGGCTCATGGACCTCCATCCCTCTTCCTCCTGCTCTCTACTTCTCCCACCATGGATACCCATGAGCATCTCCTACCGGTGACTTCATCTCATGGACTGCCCCAGGCTCAGCAGACCCACTGTTGCTAGTACAGCGGGAACTGGAGCCCAGAGCCTCTCCAGGGCCGGTGCTGGAGCTCTTGGGCAGCGACATGGGTGTGGCAGCCGTGTGGATGATGAGAGGTGGTAGCAGGCTCTTCCGAAGCTCCGGGTGCTCTCCTAGGGACACCACTGCAGAACGACAGAGGGAGAGAGCCTGAGTCCATTCAGGGCTGTCCTGAGGCCAGGGGCTGCAACCCCAGGATAGATACTCACAGGCCAAGTGCTTCTTCCTGTTCCCATCGCCATCCACGCTGGGTGAGAAGAAATCAGGCTCTGATTCGGACTTAGTGGCATCTCCCTAGAGTGAGGGAGCAGTGGGCCATTCATTAGGGCCTTTGCAGGCAGGGGTCATTGGGCTGGACCGAGGTCTCCCCTCTCTTCACACGCACACACCACATAAAGGGCCACAGGAACCAGCAACCACGTCACGACGAGGCATGCACAGGAGCAGGCCAGACTACCCAGGCTGGGGACTCAAGGTTTACCAGGGCTGCGCCTCTGCCTCTCACCAGCCACACCTCAGATAAAGGCCACCAGAGTCAATAGCACAACCAGCCTCGCTGGAATGGCAATAAGACTGAGATGGGGCTACAATGAGTGGCCAGGCAGGCAGGTGACACAGGCTGGAGGAGCTGGAGACCTGAGTGAAATGTTCACTAAAGCCTCAATCCTAAAAGTCTACTTGAGGCCACCAGGCCTCTCCATGACTCCTCCTTTCCCAACCTAAGGACCCCCCCTAAAACATTAAAATAACCTGGCCAGCCAGAGTGGCCCAAAGATGTCACTTCAGTCTGTTTGCCCCTGCTCTCTACCTTTGCCAAACCCCAGACCCTTTCTGGCCCCATTTCTACTTCTCTATCTCTGAGGTAGTTCTTTTCTTCTTTCTTAGCAGGTCAGTAGGTTCCCCAGTAATTACATACTTCTCCTTTAGAAGTTATTAAAAAATACTTGATTGCTACTTTTGATAAGGACATAAATATTGGGTAATTGGCATCTCAGGGGATCATTTTCATTAACTTAGTTTACATCCCTAATGAGGCCTTTAATTATCAAGCGGGATCTCCAGGGGGCTGCTTGAGATGTGCAGCACCATGGGGTCCCATGGGAAACCTGGCTTCGCCCCAAATTCCAGTGCCAGTGTAAGGAAACTACAAGGCACATGCTCAACATGGGGGCCATAGGACGAGTATGTCCTGAGGTAGTGGGCTGGACCTAATCAGGTGATTTGGGAGCCTGAGACTCTGATGAATTTAAAAATTCCAGTAATGTCCTGGTAAGAGCCATACCCCCGTTTCCACATCCTCCAAGGATCTGTCCTGAGTTGAAGTAGTTTGGGATCTCCAATGGAGGCCCAGGGCAATGAGTGAAAGGGAGAGAAGTAGGGAGAGCATGTCTCATGGCCACAGGTCTTAACTCCACTGAGGCTGATGTCCTGGATGCCCTGGGACCTCAGTGTAGACACAGGCACACAGGATGCCCCCCCAACACACACACACACACACACACACACACACACACACACACACACACACACACACGTGCACACAGAGGATTCTAAGTCCCTTCCTTCACCAGTCTATCCATCGGCCTGGCAGAGATGGGAATGTGCCTGTGGGTTGATGAGGGTAGAGGCCAAGAGGCTCCTCCATTCTGTGTCCTCAAGGGGGAAGGGACTTAAAATCAAAGCAAACCTCACAACACCAATGACCACCACGGCTACCACAGGTTGCACAGCAGCTGAGCGTGAATGGGAGCACAGAGACACGGAGGCAGAATTGGGGAGGGGGAGGGCATGGGCGCAGGGGCATGCTGACTTGTGATCTCGTACCTACCCCCTGGGAGTCGACAGGCAGCTGAATACAGCTTAACTGTCCACTCGCATCTTCCCGTTTGCTGATTTCCTACAGGGAGAGGGGGAGGCAGGGGAGGACTGCTGGTCACAGGCGCTAGGGCCTTCAAATATCAGCAGTGTCCCAAGAGGATGAACACAGGAGGGTCCACACCCCATCGCAAAGGAAAGCAAGAGACACGGGGTAAGGTAGGGGAATGGGACCGGATGGCCTTGCAGATTTCAACCACAGGGCCCCCCCAGGCCACAATGAATCTGAAGGGTGTGGGCAGAAGCCACGGATAAGGAAACAAAGGCAGGGAAGGCTCAAGGCCCCCGGTCACCCTAGAAACAGCAGTGACCATGCATGGAGGGGTGGTGGGCAATGACACCACCGTGGCCATCTTCTAGGGAGAGGCACCTGAGGTCTGTGAAGTTATGAAAAGTGACACAGTTCATGCAGAGAAAGAGGCTGTGGATCAAGACCCTGTATCTAGCATCTCCAGCTCAGAACACTGCTCCCGGACTCTGAGGCATGGGTATGGGGTAAAGGCAGGGAGGGAAAGAAGGAGAAGGAGACAGAAGCCAGTAACTGGGCTTCAAACAGGAGGCACAATCAGACCTCCTGATTTCTCAGACTCACAACCACAGTCCCTCCAAGTCAGAAAGGATCTGGCTGCTCCGAGTGGTATGGGATGTGACAGGTCACACGGTGTGACAAGTAACACTGGGATGATGGCTCTGATGTTGTTTAATATCAATTAATGGCCGCACACAGGGCCTTGCTGCCTGCTCATTTAATTAAGTGTGTGGATGATAAATAGACTGGAATTCAGGGCGCTGCTCCCCCCTGAGAGTCAGGAAATCAACAGCCAAGCAAGTTCTGTCTCCAGGGCCACCCCCTGCCCACTCTTGGCACAATGACAAGGCCAGTGGGGGGGTTACCCTTGAGAGCTCCTGCTGAGGAAGTCTATCAAAATGGGACATCTGTGGCCCTACTCTGAGGTGGGTTGTTTTATTTGTAAAAGAAAAAGAAAAAAAATAGAAACCAAGCCAAAACAACATTCCAGACCAATATAATGGCAAAGCCAGACTCTCCTGTTAGACCCTTGGGACCTTCTAAAACCCCACAAAGGAGAGAGCGCCCTCCGTCTGTGTGGGTCACCACATGCAGGTCAATGGAGGGAAAGGTCCCTTCACCTAGGTATTTCAGAGCTACAGCTATTGATCACCCTCATGAAGGGGGTACCATACCTCATCCCAGCCCAAGGTCCTCCCTGACACCTCTCTGTACTTAGAGAACTTATACTCTGAAGACTGGGGGCCTTTGTCAACCCATCCATGCTGGAGCCATTCACACAGATCTCCAGCAGGGCCAGGGTGACTGGGCTGGGCTGAAGCTGGCCAGGCAGCTCTGTTCCCACACTCAGCCATCACTGCTGCCTAGCAACCAGGCCAGCTCAGCTGCACTCAATTTAACAAGGTGTTGGTGAATGCTGAGTGGTGGGGAGGGGGTTTGTCTGTACTGGGGAACCGCGCCCCTCCTCCCCTTCCCCCCCCCCCGCCAGGACTGCCATGGTGGCTGATGGCAGGGAGGGAAAGGAATGGGCTTGGGCATTTTCCATTTCCCAACAGAGCTCCCTGGGAATTTTTTTGTGAGGGAAACTTAGTGTTAGGAGCTGCTGTTTCAAAGAGGCTAAAGGGGACCCATCCTCACTCAACTCTTCCTCCTACAAGCCACAAGCAACAGTCAGGTGTGAGGCCATAAAGACACTGGCTCTGAGGGAGCCCTACAGGACCCCCATCAGCTCTTCAGGCCCCAGGGAAACCCTGGAAATTCCAGGAAAAGCACTGATGGCCTCCTTTCCTATTAGAGGCCCAACCATCCTCAAAGCCTCCCCCACAGCTACCCTCACTGCCACCCAGCAGGAAGGAAATTCGATAATAAATAACTACAGAATTAAAATCGAAGCGGGGAGAAAGGTTGGTGTAGGATAGAGGTACCCGCAAACTGCCCCCCCCTCCCAGTCTAGCCTAGCCCATAGGGAACAGCCCTCCCTTGTAAAGGTTGGGAAAGGGTTGGAAAATAGATTTTTGTTTTTCCACCGTGTACTAGGTATTTATAGACCAGGCCGCAGCGGGAGTTTCCATCCGGGTCACCCAGAGAGAAGTGGACCAAGAGCTACTTCCAGGCCCAACCTGGAGCATTTCTAGGTTGGGTCAACCTGGCCTGCTTGAGATACCAGGATGCTAGATAGGATCTGAGGGCTCAGGTGGGAAGAGGCAGAGCTGAGGGAGAAGGCAGTGGGGTAGAGGGTAAAGCCCTTTGGACAGAGGCTGTGTGCCCCGGCACAGCCAGGATAGGATCAATGTGAATCAATATTAATTGATGACGGAGGTGATGTGAGTCTGGGCTGGAAATAGGACGCTCATCTCTGCCATGCCTGCAGCTAATTGGGCTCATTTCTCACCCTGGGCAGCTCAGCCCTGTCCTGGCCTTGGTGGCATCTTTATCAGTTCAGCCTGTGCTCAGATGACTTGCATGCAAGCCTCCCACACTCCTTAGCCCAGACGGATCTTCCCTAGAAGTCCCATGGTGCACTTGTGCTTGGGGGGGGGGAGCGGGGTCCAGCTGTACCATTTGTACCTGGCCCTGGGCTTGGGAAGGTTCTAGCTGACTGACAGAGAAGCCTACTGGCCACTAACCTAAAACCCAGAGATTCCACCCACCCAGCCATCCCATCTCCTGTGTGATGAGACAGGGGGTACATGAGATCCAGAGCCACCCATCCTGGGGTGTTGCCAGAGGGACCTCCCGGCCCACCCCCCACACCTGGCAACGCAGGGAGGAAGTGGCTCAAGACAGGCAGCCACTACTCCTGGAAATGGGGCTGGCTCAGGCAGGTTAAGGTGGGTAGAGCAGGGGGGGTTACCTCTGCCTGGAAGCCCTCCACCAGAATGGCGACCAGCAGATTAAAGAGCACATAGTTGCCAAAGGTCATGAGGGCAATGAAGTAAAGCGCAGCCCAGGATGATGTGGAGGCCATGCCATTGTAGAGAACTTTGTTCCAGTCCTCTTGGGTCAGGATCTGTAGGCAGAGGACAGGGGTCAAGACCTTGATCTGAGATGGCCTCCACTCTCACCCCTGCCCTGTGACCCTGGCACCTGAAACACAGTGACGATGGCCCAGAGCAGGGAGTCAAAATTCTTCCGGTCTGGCAGTGTGTCCCCGTCCCGCTCAGATGCAAACTTGCAGCCAAAGAGATGCATGCCCAGGATGCTGAAGACACAGGGAGCCGCAGACAGCCTCAGGGCCCAGTGTTCCCACCCTCATCCCTCCCCCACCCCCAAGGCCCTGCTCCCCTGCTTGGCCCACCTCTCCCCCTCCCTCCACCTTTCACTTGAGCTCGTGCTCACCTGAAGATGAAGATAAAGAGCATGAGCAGCATGCAGAAGGTGGCCACGTTGTCCATGGTCTTCATAAGCACCACGAGCTGCCGCTGCAGCGCCGGCAGGAAGCGCACCAGCTTCAGCACCCTCATCAGGCGGAAGGTCCGCAGCACCGACAGGCCACCCCCCTGCTGGCCCACGATCTCCCACACGCTGCAGGAGGGTGCAGGTAGCCTGAGCCCTACACCTTTGCATCCAACCCTCCCTTTCCATGGACTCAGCACACCTGGGGCTGAGCTGGCCAGCCAGGCATGAGAAAGGAGGCTTGTATGGGCCCTGGGACTCCAGGCTGGAGGCTCCAAGGTGGGGAGGATTCAGGTGACAGCCCCAGTCCTCACTGCTCTCTCTCCTCCTAGCCAGAGAGTACCTCCTGGCAGCAGGTTACCCTTTCCCTAAATCAAGCCAATGCAACTACATCAAGTTATGGAATATTTGCTTTGTTCTCTTCTAATGAAATCTAAAGCCAATTCTCCAAACCAATAAAGCAGTTCTCCTGGCCCCAGGCCGGTAATGGAGGGAATAGGGGGGAACTGGAATACTCTCTCAAGGTCTTGGAACCCTAAAGCAAGTTGCTAATAGCTAACTTTGTTTCCAAGCACTTTGAAAGCAGGGAAGCTGGCTAGACTTGACTCCTCCACTTCCTCCCCAAAGCTACCTACTCCAGGCTTGGGTAGGGTTATGGACAAGAGGTAGAGCTGGGGACAGGTGACTGGAGAAGGAACCACCCAAAGAAGCTAGGTGCCCCATGTCCACAAGAACAGGTAGGGCCCAGAGAGAGGATGGAGCTGAGCATGGGACCACAGACAGGCCCTTACCTGGGGAAAGTGGTATAGTCTACGAGCCAGTGTGATCTGGCTGGCTCCAGACTCTTCCACCTCAGAGGAATAGGCTGGGCTGCACAATGCCTCTCCCTATACCACCCCTGCTGGCATTTTGACAGCAAGAGGCAGTGGGAGGCAGTCATACCTGATGACAACAATGACACCATCAAAGATGTTGTAGGGGTTCTTGATGTAGCCAAAGGGGCCATATACGAGCAGCTTCAGCAGCATCTCCAGGGCAAAGAGGCTGGTGAAGACAATGTTGCTAATCTCCAGGGCATTGGTGAGCTCTTCAGGCTAGAAGACAACAAGGCATGAAAGAGTAGATTCATCCTTGAACCCCATATCTCAGTCCTTCTGGGGCCCCCGGGAGATAAGAAGCAGGAACAGCAACTCTGGGAGGGTTTGTGAGGAAGAAGACCCTCTCCCGGACCCCCTCAGGATCCAGGAGAAATGCATTTAAGGACAGCAACCTTGGGAAAGGCCCACATGAAACCCATAGCCCCCAGTTAGTCCCTCCCTGATCTTGAGGCCACAGACTTGTTGGGTTCTGTGTAGGGGTTTTGTTCTACCTTCCCTGGGAGCTTGGAGACCACTCTGTCCTGTGCTACCACACCAGTGCAGTGGCCCAGGTCAGGAAGACAACGAAGCCAACTCACATCAGAGAGTCACGGCCAAAGCTTCACATGCACAGCCAGTCACAGAGCCACACAGTCTGTGGCCATTAACTACTCCATGAACTTGGCAGCCTTCCATTGGACAATCACAGGCTTTGCTTGCTTCCTTCCAGACCCCCCCCCCTTGAATGCACATTTTTCCAGTCCCAGTCAATGAGAAAGAGGAAGACCCCTCCGGGATGAAGAAGCACCTGCAGCGTCAGCCTGAGAACACGTAAGACACCTGGAATAATCCTTAGCCTATCCTGTCACTCACTCTGTGATCTTTAGCAAAATTCTCAACCTCTCTGGCCAAACATAAACCATCAGAGTTAATTCTTTTTATGTTCCTATGCACGGTCTGGGATTGGGACCAAGAATGCATCCTAGAGAGGCTCTTAGAAGAATAAGTGACAAACCCTGTCTCATTTGTTGTTCCAGCTCACTAGTCACAGCCCTTCCAGTATGGAGTGTTGCCTGGACGCCTAGCAATGTACCAGGCATTGAAGAAGCTGGAAAAAAATGCCAACCTCACGCCTGCCTCCCAAGAGTACAGTGTCTATCTGGAAACAAGTTGTACACACACTAAACAGCTGAATAATCACAAGGGGCTCCAAATCCTGCCTCAATGCCAAAATAAATAATCTGAGCAGTAAAGCCGGTAGTTCAGAGAAGAAAAGGTGAGAGGTGAACACAGTGAGAAAGGCTCAGTCTTGAACCAGCACTTGAACTCCAAAGGGTGAGTCTCCCCAGGGGGTCAGGGAGGGAAGAGAAGGGTTACATGGGAAACCAGAGCTAAAGTTTGTGTGTGGGGGGGGTTGAAGGAAGAAGGGAAAGGGAGGGGGCATGGCTAGATTGAGGGCTGGAATACAGGTAGAGATGTAATTGGTTCAATGAAGCCCACTGCCCACTTAACAGGGGAAAGGTAAGCCCAAAGTCTATAGAAGCTGCTCACAATGTCAGGGCTGGAGACATGGCTCAAGTGGTAGATCACCTGTCTAGTAAACATGAGACCCTGAGTTTCAAACTACCATAAAAAGAAAGACGTAGCCAAATGAGGCCTTGATTCCATCAGACACCACCTCCTGCTCACCCAGCTGCCTCGTCTGGCTGCACAAGCATACAGCCAGCTCCTGGGCATGACCAAATGTATCCTAATGGGCCTGTCTGTGCAGCCAGCCTGGAAGGAAGGGAGGAGATCTGGCAGAAAGGGTTTTTTCACTAGCAGGGGGTTGCTAGGACCTTAGGGTCCATAGCTACTAGGGAGACATATTCTATGAATGGGGTTCTTCTCAAAGGCAGAAAGGGTTCGCAGGCAGGGCAGACAGCCAGCTGAGCAGAGGGTGAGCAGCTACCAGGGGTGGGAGGGCAGAGCTATTATGACCTACAGCACACTGCTCTGGAAGATCGCAAGCAAGTTTTGAGCTCTGTGAGTGGGAGCAGGAGGGGACATTCCCAACTGACCTAGTTAACAGGGTTGCACTGAGGCAGGACGCTTGGTCCCTCCAGTGTGAGCATGGTGCAGAAGGTTGGAGGTATCTCCTGATCCCAGTTGGATCAGGATCTGCATCTCAAATCTAGTCTGCCAGGAGGGAGGGAGGAACAATGCACCTGCCTCTAGGTCTGGTCAATCTGTTACCTGCCCCATCTTCCACCCTTGGACTGGATAAAGATGACAAGTAATAACCACCTAGTGTGAGATTCCCAGGTCTCAGATTCACCATTGCTTTATTCTATGAGCTACCGCATAACCATCCTCCTCTGCTGGGTGCTTCAGATGAGCAGAGGAGGCTAAAAGATGATAGGTCAGGAAGAGTTAGGGATAAGGCCCTACCCTACGTCACCCTGCTAACACTGGAGAGTCAAGATCCAGACCCATGAAGGGCTTGTGAAACCATACACAGGAATGCACCAAATGTTCTGCATCTTCTAATGAATATTGTTTTATTTCAAACCAACAGAGATGCATGAATAAAGAACAAGTTGACATGAACACACAGCTGAGGTATACTTATAATGTGTAGATTTCACACATCATATAAATTATACAAATTGAGCATCCTTAATCTGACAGCCCAAAGTACAAAATGCTCCAAATCTCTTTCAACACCAACATAATGTCATAAGTTCCACCTGACCACATGTGACAGATCACAATCAAAATACAGATGCAAGCCAGGCACCAGTGGCTCATGCCTGTAATCCCAGCTACACAGGAAGTAGAGATCTGAACATTGTGGTTCAAAGCCAGTCCATGCAGAAAAGTCCTGGTAGGACTCTTACCTCGAATTAACCACTCAAAAAAAAATTAAGAGCCACAAAAACTGGAAGTTTTGCCCTGAGGCAAAAGAACTCAGGGACAATGCCCAGGCCCTGAGTTCAAGCCCCACAACCAACGAAACAAACAACGATAACAAAAAAAAACAAAAACAGATGCACTACAAATATTGTATAAGATTACCTTCAGGCAATATGTACAAGGAATATATGAAACATGATTGAATTTCATATTAAAGCACAGGTTCCATTTCCAAGATATCCCATTATGTATATGCAAACTGAAACCTCAAATACTTACATTTTGAATGAATATAACATATTCGATCTGTACTTCAAAAAAGCTACCAAAACCTTTTTCTTCTTTCTTTTTGTGGTGCTAGCATCTGAACCCAGGGTCGTAAGCATATTCAGGAAGAGCTCTAGTACCATTTAGCCATGTCCCCAGACTTATTACTTGTATTTTTGTTTTTGAAAAGCGTCTCACTAACTTCTTTCATGCTGGCTTTGAATTTTCAATCTTCCTACCTTTGCCATCAAGTAGCTGGGATTACAGCCATACAATACCAAACTTGGCTAAAAACAAAATTTGTAAGTAGCTGAAAGATTTGATAGATTTGGTATATATTTATTCCATTAGCAAATCTTAAAAGGATGTTTACTGCACAGAGGACTGGTCTCATTCTGCCCCAATGTCATCACCTGTGTTCTCCATAGTTAGCACTGCCAGCTCATAACACATGTACCCCTCACACCTTCACACCAAGAAGTTCACTGAGAAGGATTGTGCAGGGGACCCCTTGAGGCCTACATCATTGGTCCTCATTGAGTGGGGTGCGGAAGCAGAGACGAAAATCTCTCCATCCCTACAAGCAGCTCTGCAGAAATACCCATGTCTGCTCAGGTGCAGATGCATGCGTGTCTGCTGCAGGTGTAGCTGGGCTAGGCATTTTTCCTTTAGCCTGTCCGGTCTTCTGTAAATAGGCATCATGCCTCTCTCCAGGGTCCAGTAATCCACGGAAATCTATGGAAAAAAGCCCTCCTGTCCTAGACAGTCAGGTCTGTCCCTGTTACTAACTCAGAGGTTGGAATGTTTTATAGATGTAAGACAGGACATAGGGACGCAATCTTAGCAACATGCTAGCCCCAGGAACCACAGCCGTAATTCTGGCCACAGCTGTCTCCAAGGGGCCGAAGCGGAGCTTGATTCTGCTGAGCCCAGCATTTCATTTCCTCTGAGCTCAGGACCAAATGAAGGAAGAATGGGACCCTCCCAGAGGGCTAGGGAAGCTGAGGCTGAATGAGATGTGAGAGCTAGATGGAGGTCACATGCTCCCTCAGAAAGGCCTATGGCCTGGGCTTTTGTACTTCCCGTTTACCCCTGACCTTGGGGCTCTTTCCACAATGTCACGCTCCCTCCTCAGGCAGAGAAAACCAACACAATGCACACAAGTGCGCTTAAGCAGATTCCAGCCTTGCCTCACTGACTCTCAGCTTCAGTAATCCTTTCTCAGGTCTCAGTCAAGTTCTTCCTGCGGTTCACAAATGTCAGGGCCCAGTGGAGCCTTGTGGGAGGAGATGCCAGGGAGCCTAAACGTAAGGCCCTGGACCTCTGCTCTTTGGTAATACTCATTGTAAACTCCTCCCCTCCTGAGGCTAGCAGCAAGGGTGGACCCAGGTGAGCTGCCCCCTGCTTCACAGGCCCCATACTTCCCCAAACCTGTGCCATCTGCCACCTGTGAGATAAAAACGGTGGGATTGTACCTGAAGACAACGGGCCTGCCCACTCTGTCCCACCTCTGTAACCAGGGCTAGCTCCAGTTAAACAAATTTAACACCATCCCGTGAAGAAGCTACTCTGTAGAGCAGAGGAATTAAAGCCTGTGAAAACCTGCAGCCCAGTGCCAACCCTGGATGGTCCCGTGGACCCAGACATGTGAGAAGCTGTAAGCTCAGGAAAAACCAAGAGTACCACAGAGCTCAGAGACAACTGAGATGAGCAGCCAGCTCACCTGTGGTGAGCACCTCCAGCAAAGGGACACAGGAAGGAACACCCCTGGCATCCTCAGGGTCAAGAATCTAGAGGGTAGATAGGGCCCCATAGAGCTCAGGCAGAATGGCCTCTATCCTGGACTCAGGCTGGACTTGCCTCTGCCCACAATGCTGCCATTGAGGTTTGTACCGGAAGGGAAGAGATTTGCAAAATGGTGTATTAAGAAGATTAATCTGGCTGCAGTAGTGGCAGCATGTGGATGGCTGGGAGGGGAGAGATGACCAATTAAGGGATACTGCAGTGGTCCAGACAGGAGGCCTGGGAGCCAGCTCTGAAAGAGTGATGTGTGTTGCCCAGGGAAGGCATGAAGA